ACACTAAACTGGGAGGAGAGGTAGATATGCTGGAGGGTAGGGATAGGATACAGAGGGCCCTAGACAAATTAGAGGATTGGACCAAAAGAAATCTGATGAGGTTCAACAAGGACAAGTGCAGAGTCCTGCACTTAGGACGGAAGAATCCCATGCACTGCTACAGACTAGGGACTGAATGGCTCGGCAGCAGTTCTGGAGAAAAGGACCTAGGGGTTACAGTGGACGAGAAGCTGGATAAGAGTCAACAGTGTGCCCTTGTTGCCAAGAAGGCCAATGGCATTTTGGGATGTATAAGTAGGGACATTGCCAGCAGATCGAGGGACGTGATCGTTCCCCTCTATTCGACATTGGTGAGGCCTCATCTGGAGTACTGTGTCCAGTTTTGGGCCCCACACTACAGGAAGGATGTGGAAAAATTGGAAAGAGTCCAGCGGAGGGCAACAAAAATGATTAGTGGACTGGAACACATGACTTATGAGGAGAGGCTGAGGGAACTGGGATTGTTTAGTCTGCAGAAGAGAAGAATGAGGGGGGATTTGATAGCTGCTTTCAACTACCTGAAAGGGGGTTCCAAAGAGGATGGATCTATACTGTTCTCAGTGGTAGCAGATGACAGAACAAGGAGTAATGGTCTCAAGTTGCAGTGGGGGAGGTTTAGGTTGGATATTAGGAAAAACTTTTTCACTAGGAGGGTGGTGAAACACTGGAATGCGTTACCTAGAGAGGTGGTGGAATCTCCTTCCTTAGCAGTTTTTAAGGTCAGGCTTGACACAGCCCTGGCTGGGATGATTTAGTTGGGGATTGGTCCTGCTTTGAGCAGGGGATTGGACTAGATGCCCTCCTGAAGTCCCTTCCAACCCTAATATTCTATGATCACCCTAGCAGCCCTTTCCTGCACCTGGTCTGGTGCCTTCATCTTTCTTGAACACAGGGGACCCATGTTGTGCACAATAATCCAGTTGAGGAGGTCTGACCAGTTTGAAATGGGCGTTTTACTCTTCAGTACTTCCACCGGCAGGGAAAGCAAAACCACCACCCTCCAGAGAGAAAAGTTCAAAGACATTTCAGCCATTTTTATTGGATTTCAGATTTTTCCAGTGAAGCAAATACATATGGTGCAGCCAAAACAACTGACACTATTCTCACATCTCTACAGCATAGACCGTACAGCTACGGATGGGTCAGTTACAAAGACAGATGATGATCTGACACTTCCCTTTCCTAGGAATTTACAATACATAAAACGAAGCACATGTGGGGACACCCCCCCCCAACACACAGAGCTCACCTCAGCCTAAGTTAAGGGGGTTATTTACATGACTACTGTCCTCTGGAAATATCAGGCCCAAACATGTGCGGCAGGGCCAGCATTGGGTATGTTCCCTCCCTGGTAATTCTCTTTCCCCCTCCCACCCACCCACTACAAACAAGAGCACATGCTATGTACACTGGGCTTGTTCTCACTGGTATTGCTTTGGGGATATGCTAAGCCCAATTTTGGCATTCAAACACCAACAAACAAAACATCCTTGGCTCAAAATACACTTAGAATGAGGGAGGAGAATATACTGTCGAAGAGGATGTCACAGTTAAAGATATGCATTTACAAACCAGCGCCCCTCTGAACAGTACGGCGTTACTCCCGGGAAGTGAGATTTATGCCCTTACCACGTCAGGTGTTTTGCTGAACTCTGTTCTCTGGCAAATGAGCTGCTTTGAGGGGACACACCCAGCCACTTGGTTGCAGTGACCTCTGTTATCCCAGTGGGCTGATTTTCCTTACAACCGTTTTATACCAGCATCATTTCACTGACTTCAGTAGAGTTACCCCAGATTCACACCACGGTGCGAGAGGAGACTAGAGTCTACTATCACCAATTTTTACAGGGAATAGTAGCTGTAAAATAGCTCTGGGGGCACAAAGATGGCTGATAATGTGTGATTTGCCACATCAGTTTCATGGGCTTTCTTATGTGATTCAGTAACTAACCCCACACTAAAGGGACAATGTTTTTGAAGAAAGAACAAGGAGGACTTGTGGCACCTTACAGACTAACAAATTTATTTGAGCATAAGCTTTCGTGGGCTAAAGCTCACTTCATCAGATGCATGTAGTGGAAAAAATGTTTTTGAAGCTATTTTCTAGCTTTAGCTAAAACGCTCTATGGAAGTAATGGAATTTATACTAGGTATGGATCTGGTCCTTTGAGTGCAGTAATTACTAATGAAATCCTATCATCTTTATAAAGTACCCAATTACAGCAATTTGTGCCTTAACTAAAAGTGATATACGACATTCAGCTACTCTACAACTGACAGTGGTGGTGCCTTAAAATAAAGGCACTGTATGTCAATTAACTGCAAAATTACACTGCAAGTCCCTCAGTATGCCACTGATGCATTTAACAGTTCATCAGGTTGTCCCTATTAACTTTACAGCTATGGACATTCAGCTCCAGAATTTCAAAGGAGTGTGTCCCATTTACACGTACAACTCCATGCATAAACTGCAAACGTACAATTGTTGAGATTGCACCTACAACCACCAGTAATGAGAAATGTGATGCCTGCCAAAAATATGCACAATGCACTTTAAAACAGAAAAGATATCTTGCACAAGCCAAGTTTGATGTTCTCCTAAGAACATTTTGAACAACATAAATGGAGCGGTTACGTATTTGAAAGGTATGATGGCATCATGTCCCAGGGCCAAATTCCCTCTTGAGACTGGGACTATGATTTTGTTTAGCCTACAAAGTCCACCAGGGAGCCTTTGTTCTCCATCTGTTTCACTTGGCTGACATCCTTGCACAGAAAGCTCAGAAATAAACATGTATGGGTACAAGCAAAGAGATATTGTTCATCAAGGTGCAAAGGGTTAAAAATACCTTTTGCATCCCAAGTGAAAAAGCAACTGGCTAACAGCTTCCACCCTACCATTTCCTTCTTGCCTTTTTACCCGGGCTGGAGATGCCCTCTCCATTCTACTGCAAAAGGGTGCAAGTTCTGCCCCTTTGCTTAGACCTAGAGAATAGCCATAGCAGGACCAACCTAAACTCGGTGAACCAGATCCCAGCTGGTGTAAACTGACAAAACTCCACTGACGATAACAGAGTTTGCTGCATTACCCCAGCTGAGGAGCTGACCCTAGACTTTTGCCTCCCAACAAAACACTTGCATTATTTTCCTTCTCTCTCACTCACTTCCCTAATCACTTCTTTCCAGGAGCACCATGGAGCCCTCGAATCTGTAGAATGACTTGTTTGCGCTAAGCAATGGTGTCACATGCAGGACAACTAGCCCAGGTCTTTTGCAAACATGTTCCATTCACATAGCTGATCCTATCCCTTTCCCCAAACAACACACGTTCGCTCAACAGCACTGGAGTTAGTGTGGACTTTTTCAAAAGAGCAAGACAGAGCCATCGGTTTCATCCTGCTAATGTCATAGAAGAAACTGATTAAGAAGAAATGTACTGGTAGGTCTTTTCTACCACATACAGGATGAACTGGATAGCATCTGGGACCGGAAAGTATTCCTGACTGTCCTTCCTTAAAGAGCTCTCTTTAACTTTCTTAACCACTCAAATACTAATATTTTATGTTGGTTTCTACCAACAGTGATAAAACAGCTGTTTGTCTTTGCCTTTTATCCCCATTTAGTATGCACAATGTCCCTGGGAAACAATGTCATGTCCCATTGTCAAGCTGAGGCTATCTAATGCCAAGCTTTGCCAGTTACAGCATTATTAGGAAAGCAATGGCGGTATTTAGTAAGATACATGTCTTATGTTTGCTGTGGTGTTTTAAATGGTTTGTGGCCTCAGCAGCTTCCATGCTCTAGACTATCGGTGACTAATGTACAGTAACATACAGCTTATGAGAAGATTTTCCGAGACCCTGCTTCCAGTGATATTTCTCACACATGTTTCAGAGTAGCAGCCGTGTTAGTCTGTATACGCAAAAAGAACAGGAGGACTTGTGGCACCTTAGAGACTCACCAATTTATTAGAGCATAAGCTTTCATGGGCTACAGCCCACTTCATCAGATGCATAGAATGGAACATATAGTAAGAAGATATATATATATACACACACACACACACACACACACACACACACACACACAAGAGAGAGAACATGAAAAGGTGGAGTAAGAGGCTAATTAATTAAGATGAGCTATTACCAGCGGGAGGAAAAACTTTTGTAGTGATAATCAAGATGGCCCATTTAGACAGTTGACAAGAAGGTGTGAGGATACTTAACATGGGGAAATAGATTCAATATGGGTAATGACCCAGCCACTCCCAGCCTCTATTCAAAGCCAAGTTAATAGGCTGATGCTATCTGGCTGATGAATCTTGCCCATATGCTCAGGGTTTAGCTGATCGCCATATTTGGGGTCGGGAAGGAATTTTCCTCCAGGGCAGATTGGAAGGCCCTGGAGGTTTTTCGCCTTCCTCTGTAGCATGGGGCACGGGTCACTTGCTGGAGGATTCTCTGCTCCTTGAGGTCTTCAAACTACAATTTGAGGACTTCAATAGCACAGATATAGGTGTGTGGTCTTTTTTAGGAGTGGTGGGTGAAATTCTGTGGCCTGCATTGTGCAGGAGGTCAGACTAGATGATCATAATGGTCCCTTCTGGCCTAAATATCTATGAATCTATGAAAATAGTATCTAGTTTGCATATTAATTCAAGCTCAGCAGTTTCTCGCTGGAGTCTGTTTTTGAAGCTTTTCTGTTGCAAAATTGCCACCTTTAAGTCTGTTACTGAGTGGCCAGAGAGGCTGAAGTGTTCTCCTACCAGATTTTGAATGTTATGATTCCTGATATCAGATTTGTGTCCATTTATTCTTTTGTGTAGAGACTGTCCGGTTTGGCCAATGTTTTTTACTCCTGCTCATAATAGCTTATCTTAATTAATTAGCCTCTTACTCCACCTTTTCATGTTCTCTGTATGTATAAATATATCTCCTTACTATATGTTCCATTCTATGCATCCGATGAAAGGGGCTGTAGCCCACAAAAGCTTACGCTCAAATAAATTTGTTAGTCTATAGGGTGCCACAAGTACACCTGTTCTATTTCTCAGACATGAATTTGCTTCTTGAGATTTAGAAACCATGTAACCTATGAGAGAAAATACTTATCTCTGAATATGAAAGCTCACTTGACAAAGAGTCAAAAGCAGAAAGAAGCCCATGTCCACCAAGTTTAGAAATAACCAGCCATCTAAAACATTATGGTTTGTATCTGTCTACAGTGGCCATCTACAATGGAATAAACACATAGCATATAATTAGTAGTTTTACACATTTGCATAAGAATGGGTTGTGACATGGGTTGGTACAGTTGTGTTTAGTGCATATATACATACATACACACACACACACCTATATGGTGGGATTTTCTTAAGTGCCTAAGTGGGTGAAGGTGCACAACGCCCATTGGCTTTCAGTGGAAATTGTGGAATTAACTGTTTTAAGTATCTCTTTGGAAAATCCCACTCTGTGTGTATCTGTGTGTCTACACACACACACACAATTTGAAAAAAAGAGTTATTGACAACAGAAAACTTTAAACTCAAATTCCTCCTCCCTCCGCCCTCCCCCCAAAATGCTTTAAAATATCTGTATCAACCACAAAAAAATTGCATACTTAGTTTGCTTTACAGTTGGATTAACTCTATAAACACTGTATATCTGTAATGTCCTAACTGATCCCTTGAGGATTAAGTCATTCCAGACACGAACCAACGACAAACTCTGCAAGGGAAAGACAAACAAACACCTTGATTACTCATTTCAAAATGTCTTTTCCACATTCAGAAACGTCCTCACCCTTTGACTCTCCGTAATCCTCACATCCTTTCCCTGTGCTGTTCCCCTCCCCTCCCTGAATCTGTGGTAAAGTTACAAGTATCTATCAGACCATGATTCTCAGCGGAGATGGTTACATTATTTGTCACAGCTGAAATTCACCGCTGTGCAGGGGGACTTGATTCCATCATTTTTGCCCCACCACGGGGACGTTTTGGGGCGCCCACAGTGTTTGACCACACAGGACATACCGGGGGGCCAATTACTAATTTTGGATGCCCCAATTTCTGGGGTGCCCAAACGCCAGATGTGAAAGGCCTGATGTGTTAGAGATGCTGAGCAGCCCCAACTCCTGTTCGCTTCAGTTGGAGTTATGGGCAATCAACACCTCTGAAGATCAGGTTCTCCCAGTGGCATGCAATTGTGCATTTGCATCCAAAATGGCGACTTTCACACAGCGTGACGTCACGCACACCATGCGTGTGAGGCCACGCTGTGCAGCGAATGCCATTTTGTCCTACAAAATGGTGTCCTCCTTGTGGTGTGACCTCACACGTGGTGCATGCATGCCATTTTGTTTGCATGTTTGGAGACTGGACAGAATCGTCCCATGGGCACAGCCAGTCCTGGGGCATCCAGTACATGTGTGCATAAAATGACGGCATGCCACTGGACCCTACATGTCTCAGATTGCTTGACCAAAAATTGAAGCAATGAATTTTAGTGAGTACTTCAAAATCCTGGTGGCCTTAACCTCTCAGCCTTAGCTTCCCTACCTGAAATATGCAGATCCTAGTACACTTCTTAGCTATCTCAATGGGCTTTTCTGAGGACTAATGAGGCTCATAAAGTGCCTAGAAGCTGTTAAGTGCCATATTAAATTTGGGAATCATTCCACGCTAATCACAAGGTCTGATTAATGTGACTCGTGGTTCAAGAATTAACATGTTCTTGGAGAGAGCTGAAACAGAAGCTGCATTGCCCAATAATTGCATTCTGCAAACTGCTGTTGAACAGTTCATATTCTAGCTTGGGAAGAAAGGTCAAAGCCACTGAAGGGCTGTCCTAGTTGTAGAGAGGAGGTGTCATGGTCACATCACATGCTGTGTTCAATGTGCTAGGCCCTGTACGAACATAGAGAAGGTACAGTTTCTGTCCTGCCGACCTCATCTGTGTAGCTGTTACACCATGTGAGTCGGAAGGAAATGGCTTCCCTACATCTTAGACCAATGAGGCAATTTCTGTGTTAGAAACAGCTAGGGCTGATGATTGGAATTTTTTCCTCCCCTATTGAAAATTTGGACTGTTTATTGAAAAACCAAAATCTGGAAATTTTTGTTGACCTAAAACTAAGTTTTTGGCCGAAAAGGTTTTCAATTGAAAGTCAAAGGTTTCTTTAAAAAGCACTTTTTTAGTGAAAAATGTCACTGACTCAAAAAAACCCCTGTTTTCTGGTGAAACAGGGTTTTCATGGAATATTTGCAACTGGCCCTAGAAACAGCCTCACATGCTTACCAAATGTAAGTGAGCAGAGCAGCATTTACATGACATGACACTGCTGCTGGTTTGTCCTTGAACACCATGTTTTTTCCAGCACTGACAATCCCCTTCTCACCTGCAGGCTGAACTTGTGCTGAAGGTCTCTGCTTAGAATCTGGAAGACAGGGTCCTGAAAGTGCTCCCGGTTAAGGACCCCAACATGTTCTTATCGAATCCTTGCTGCAGAATGAGACGTGGAAGTTATTGGAAGGCAGTTAATGCAGGTAACTTGCAAATCAATAATTATCTAATGTCATTACCCATGAGTCAAATTCCTCAGTCCTACCTCAAAGGCCACCTGCATCCAGCAAGTTGGCTGCATGCACTCACTATGTCCTTTGCAGAAACGTTAATGTTGTATGCACCTTATGCAATCTTTTGCCTGCACAAAGCATGCAGTGTGCATGCAAACAGTCACAGTTATTGAGGGAATGAGTCTTTCCTGCATTGTCTTCCCTCTATAGATAGCAGGACCTCAACCCGCCTTGCTGAGGAAATATCGTTGCCTATACTGGAAAGTCAGTAAGGATCAGGTATGTATGATGCATATTTGTGCAATGACCATGTGTAAAATATGCTAGAGTGACTGTCATGTCAAATTGGAGGTGGAATTGGTGTCTTAAGGAGGGCTGCTGTAAGGTTAAAAACAGAAAAAAAAAACCCTCACCATCAACCTTTGTGTGGATTTGAGGCCCACAAGTTGCCCCCATTTTCCACACTTGCCCCTTCCCCTCAGTCAATCCTTTTACTCCCTTATGCTGTTGGCTTTCCATGGTGTGGGGAGGAGAACCCCGGTTTGGTGAAAGAAACCGGTCTGGAACAGAGGCTAGTCGCGACTCTGCCAGTTTGGGGATTTTGCTGGGGAAGGAGAGGGGACCTGACAAATGCTGGCTGCTTCTCTTGTTGGTCTAACGGATTATTCTGTCCCTGAAGTAGGGGAGATGACCACAGGGCAGGTCTGGGGATAAAAGATGAAGTGTGGGACTAGAGAAAAGGAACCTGTGTTGGGGGCTGTCACAATCACTTCTCTCGCCACACAAGTTAGGGACTGTGTGGAGCTGCTTCTTCCACTCGCGCTGGCTTTGCACCAGTGGATCTGCATGGGCCTCAATGGAGTTATTTACACCAGCGTAAAGGAGAGGTGAATGAGGCCCATATGTTGGTAGGCAGCTCCAAGGGCACTCTCAAAGCCCCTGGCTTTTCTCATAGACACTGGCAATATTCAACACTGACTTACATCCCTAGCAAATTGACCTCGGGGGTAAATCCAGCCTGCTGCTATCCAGTTAGCTGAGAATCAGGAAAAGGCTAACACTTAGCTTCCTCACCTGTTTGAGAATGCCCTGGAACTCCCTGTATGACCACAGATCACCCAGCAGGAGGCGAGCAGCTTCAGCTGCTTTTGGACAGGAGCTGGAAGGATGAAAGAAATCCAATGACTCTTAGCTGGCCACAACCCACCAATGCAAACAACCCAGCCCCTGTCAGCATGGTGTGAACCAGCTCCACCATTGCAGAGGGTTGGCCAGCCACAATGGAGATCATTCAGCTATATGCTCACAGGTTGCTTTGAAGACATCATTTGGGCAAATGCCAAGGAGGAGGGGGATTTCTGGGATGGTCCAAAGGGGAGTAACTCAGAGGAATGGGAGGAAGCGGAGCTAAAGAGACACTTCTGAACTGTAGAATCTAAAAAGCTGCAAGACAGGAGGGAAATGGCACAAGCCCCGACTCCTTTGGAACTAGATAGCACAGCTCACTCAGTAATACAATGAAAGGAACAACCTCGCGCTACTTTGGGGGGACAGCTGAGATGCGACAGAAGAAATAACAACAATACAGGTCGAACCTCTCTAGTCCGGCACTCTCTGGTCTGGCAACATCCATGGTCTGGCATGATTTTATTTTGTATTTTATGCTTTATCTACTTATTTCCTTGTGCCAATACAATAAAATTTTGTAACAACACTAACACTTTGTTACGAAGAGAGCCGATAAGCCTTGGCTAGGCGGCGTTGCAAGCGTTGTTTCATTTATTCGCCTCAGCGAGATAAAAATAAAAAGAGACCCGTTTGACACAATATTGTTCAGCAAATTCTCTGGTTCGGGACTGGTCAGGTCCCAAAGGTGCTGGACCTGTACTAGTACCACCCCTGAAATACTTACTCAGCAAAAATTAATGGGAGTTTGCCCAAGTAACAACTTTGTGAACAAGACTCAGGCCTTCAGGGGTTTGCTTCAGGTCTTCTAAGATTTTGGAACACTTCAGACCCAGAACTGGATCCAAACTTCACGGCTGACTCTGATCACTATAACAGGCCCAGTATAAACCCTGACCACCCCGGACTTTCAGAGAGTTCCGACACAGTTCATACTCTGCAACTTGGCCCCAGCTCCAGCCAAAACCTGGACAATGAAGTGCTAGAAAGCAACTCACGCAGGGATGTGGCCAGCTCTAGGTGGGACGCAGCTGTGTCCACATGGCCAGACAAGTAGCAGCAGCAGATGCTGGTCAGACTATGTGAAATGAAGTTGACTGACTATTGGTAAAAACAAACTGACCCCTCCAAACAAGTGTGAAAATTACAGGCAATGATTTCTGCTGAGAGAGAAGGTCAGTTTATACTACGGCCGATGTACACAGTGGCTGGGTTTTTGACTCTGGAAATCTTTTGGCCTGTGACAAGCTAGAGGCTCTACCCAGTTAAGTCCCAAAGGAATGCTGTAAACCTGTAGCAGATTAAGGGTCTGATCCAATTCCTAATGAATCTTTCCACTGACTAATGGAAAGCTGGATTGGTCCTTATTCACCAGAGGTTGCAACAGTCCCTGGGAGGTGGGAGATCCCTGTTCTAGTCCCTTTGCAGAGGGGGGACTGGAACCGTGATCTCCCACAGCTTGGGCAGGTAGCCAGCCACAGGGGACAAAAGAGTGATTTGCATTTTATTAAAAGGGCCCAGAGATGGCGGATCCCTGTTCAAAATCCTTCCCCTTAGCAGGCACAGAGGGGAATTGACTAAGGAGATCCAACATTCCAGGTGAGCACCCTAACCAATATACTATTGAGTATATTTAATTTCACATGCTTAGCGGTTGCTTGGCCTAATCAATGGTTAATTAAAATGGAACAACTTCAACAAAAAAGCCTGAGAGCGCTTGCTGTTTAAACCTCTCCTCAGGCCTCAGCAAGACTTGAACTCAAGTCTATAATAACCTAGGGGCTTCCCTAGCAAGTGGGCTACAGAGGACTTCTAATGCTTAGGCCCAATTAATAGTTAATTAAAGTGGAACAGTGTCAACAGGAAAGCCAGGGCAGCTCCCTGTTCAAATCCCTTCATGACAGTCGGTCGCTGGAGGACTCAAACCCCTGTCTTCAGCGGCCTGAGCAAGCCCCCCATCCCTTTACCACAGAAGGCTGCTTACAGCAGTTTTTTGCCCAATTCATATTTAACTAAAGAAGACCAGCTTCAGCAGGCAAGACAGAAGGAAAATGTTGTTTAAATCCCTTCTTTTCATTAGGAACAGGGAAGAATTGAGCCAGAGTCACTGCCATTTCAGGTGAGTCCCTAACCACTGGGCAACAGAGGACTTCCTGTTGCTGTGTCTTGCCTTGGCCCAATTAATAGTTAATTGAAGTGGAACAGCTTCAGCAGAAATGACTAACGGAGCCCCACCTCACCATACCTCTAAGTCCAGCGGTTGGGACATTCACGAGAGATGTAGGAGAACGCTGCTTAAATCCCGTCTCAGCAAACAGCAGGTGATTGAACCAAAGCCCCATAGTCTAGGTGAGCACCCAAAATGGTGGGCTAGAGAGTGATTCTTAGGCTTTCTGTGGCCCAAGTAATGGTTAATTATTTAATTAAAGTGAAACCGCTTCAAGAAGAGATGGAGAACAACCCACATCAGAGAACCCCTGGGGTCAGTGATCAGGGCACTCACCTAAAAGAGGGTACACCCTTGTTCCCATCCCTTCCCATCAAGTACAAGGGGAATTGAAGCACATCCCAGCTGAGGGCCCTCGCCACTGAGGAAAGGGTTAGACAGTAGACAGCCACCTTCTTCCCCATCTCCCCTAGTTGTGCTCTGTGGTGCTGGGCAGGTACTTGACAATCACCCATGAAATGGTGTAGACGCCTAAGTCACCTGACTGCAGGAGAGGGGTTCCTGGCTGTGGATCACAAGCAGAGATAGGGACCAAACTCCGTGACAGGCTGGGCTTAGCATGGTCCTCCACCCCCTCGGCAGCATCCCCCAGTGGCTGGCTTAGGTGGCTCCCTGCCTAGCGTGCTGGCTTTTGTGGATCCCATTCTGAGGTGCCGGTCTCCCCATTCACTGATGAGGGAGCCTAAGCACCTAACTCAGGCGTAGGGAGTCCCATTGTTCTTCCAATGGTTTTCTAGGCATTTAAAAGTGAGAGCTAGTAATACTGAATATTGCCACACCCAAGTCCCTGTGTGCGGAGACAGAGGGGAGCCGAGTCTACTTGGCCCATATTACAGGCAAGCAGCTTGGCGACCGTACGGGTGCTGAGAATGGACATGACTCAGGCAAACAGCCCTGAGACCAAAGAGGGGTTGTTGGGTTCATACCACAGACTCACCGCCAAGTCCCCAGGAGCTGCGAGTGGGCCTGCTTTGTGAATGCCACAAGCACGGAGATCACTGGGGAATGCAGAATAGGCCCCATCAGTGCGCACCAGAGCCTCACCCCTGCAAACCAGGGTGGGGAACTGAGAACAAGCAGTCTCACTGCATGCCCTAGACACAGAGCCCTGAGCCTGGGGTGCCCAAATGGGTGAGAGAGACATTCTGGAGCTCCCCTTTCCCCCGTGCTCCTGCGGGGGGAAGGGGAGGCGCAGGGTGAGAAGAGCGCTATCCAAGCTCGAGCCAGTAACAGTGCAGTGACTGGGCGTTGCTCATGAAGTCTGCCTGCCCATTCTGCGCTTCCATTCGCTTTTCTCTGTGCGCCTTCTCCACAGCTCCAAACGCTTCTCTGAGTATCTGAGCTTTCTCCAAGACGAGTCTCCTCTCACCATCTGGGAGAACCTCATTGCTCATGCCGGTGCCAAGTGCCAACCAGTTCAAGCAATTCTCTGCCTCATTTATGAGTTTGTGGATTCTACTGCCATGGTTATTGCTTTTCCTCAGAGCCTGGCTGATGACTGAAGCACCAAGTGGATAGTGCACTGGACTGTGACTCAGGAGACCTGGGTTTGATTCCTGACTCTAGCATTGGCCTGCAGGTTGACCCTGCCTCAGTTTCCCCATCTGTAAAATTAGGATAATGATCCTGGCTTTCTTTGTCAAGCACTTTCTAGGAGTATCGTTAATAATAATAATGCTGGGAACCCAGAGCTATAGCAACTGATTGAATAAGAGGTACATGGGATTCATAACAACATCACTGATATTTAGGGCTGGGATTTTCAATGGAAGTTAGGTGCCCAAATTCCTATTGAATTTCAATGGGATGTAGGTTCCTAACTCCCTTAGGATATGTCTACACTGCAGCGGGGAGGTGTGACTCCCAGCATGGGTAGATAGACTCATGCACCAAATAGCGGTGCGGAGATTGCAGCATGGGCTAGCTGCCAGAGTCCAAGCCTGCCTGAGCCCTGAATCCAAGCTTAATTGGCTTGCCTGAACCTTGGTCCCTGCCACAACATCCACACTGCTCTCATTAACAACTCAAGCATAGCTATATGCGTCTGCCTACCTGCGCAGGGAATCCCGCCACCTGCTGCAGTGCATAGCTCCCAGGCAAGCCCCAGCCTCGATACAGAGGGCTCCTCACTGAGAAGTGAGCGCTTTCCATTTGTCACCACAAGATGGTATCTGAGATTCTGCAGTCCTCCCCCATAACAAACATCACGGCCTTCTCAGCCCTTACAGTGATAGTACCTGGTGACCGCTGGGTCTTTACCAGTGGTCACTGAACAGCATTGCATCAGGGATGCAGTTGCTCTGGGCCCCATGGGCATGTGCACAAGTTGGCTGCATAATCTCTTAACGTGCTTGCACATGGCCCTCCAGCCTCCTCTTTGCCATCACTCACCCATTTCGGCTCAGGTTTACTACATTATTTAGCATGCTGCTCGTCAAATAAGGCTTGGCCATCTGCGGGTTGGACATGATTAGGTTCCGCATGGTGTAGCAAGCGGAGGACATGATATCTCCCAAATTGCTGTTGTTCCCGGACTGGAAGGCCAGGAGACGGGACACATCTGGAAGCACCTGGGGAGCTAAAGAGGAGGAATATTCCAGTCAGGACTGAAATAAAAACCAGTGCAGATAAATCAGATACTTGAGTAAGTCCTATGCAACACAAGGGCTGCAGAATCAGGCCCTAAGTGAGGCATTAATAATCATGCAATAGTTGCTGTGGCCTAGATCTCATAGGTATCTATGCGCCTAACTCAGTGGGAGTTACACACCTAAATACCTTTGAGGATCTGGTCCTATTTGATCGAAACAATAACAATGGACATGGCTTGGTTATGCTCGGGAAACCGTATACACCGCCCCAAGAAGCCAAGTCCAGCCCAACCAGGGGAAACACTCCCTCTCCCAGAAAGAGGCCCAGAGAAACCAGCTGATCTCTCTTATCCATGAAGCATGCCAGGGATCAAGTGAGAGGCTCACTAATGGGATGAAGTAGCATTTGTTAATCAGACTGTGCACGACTCCAAAAGATGTCATAAGGGTTCCTTATGGTGGCTACAGGCCAGGACAAATAGCATCTCTTGGCCAGCATCACAGCCCTGATGCTCACCAGCCGTGGGGAGGGGACGTGTGACATCAGTGCATTTTTTTTGACGAATCTATGTCCGGTGGTGATGCTTGGCATAGTTCAGCTGATGGGTTTACAACAGAAGATGTGCTTGTGAAAGAAGGGGAGAGGCTAGTCAACCGCTCAGAAACTGCTTTTATGGAAGCTCCTTACCCATGGTTTTGTGGAGAATAGGATGTCGGGACATGTTGCTCAGCAAGGAAGCCCCAGATCGGACAACTTCACTGTTACTGGATTGGAGGAGCCGCGCTATACGAGGCAAACCCTTCTCCTTTAAGCCAATCAGCTGGCTCATTGCATTGGACATCTAGGGGATAAACTAGAATTTGTTAGTGATGCCCAACCCATGCAGGACAGGTGTACTTGAACAAAAAAACTTCAGAAACAGACTTCAAAGAGAAACTGCAGAACTAAAATTCATTTGCAAATTTAACACCATTAATTTGGGCTTGAATAGGGACTGGGAGTGGCTGGCTCACTACAAAAGCAGCTTTGCCTCTCCTGGAATTGACACCTCCTCATCAATTATTGGGAGTGGACCACATCCACCCTGATTGAATTGGCCCTGTCAACACTGGTTCTCCACTTGTGAGGTAACTCCCTTCTCTTCATGTGTCAGCATATAATGCCTGCATCTGTAATTTTCACTCCATGCATCTGAAGAAGTGTTTTTTTACCCATGAAAGCTTATGCCCAAATAAATCTGTTAGGTGCCACCAGACTCCTTGTTGTATCCATACAGTATTTCTGGGTATACACACTATAGTATAGCTAGGTCATAAAATAATCATCAATATCATACTTTATTCTTCTGTAGCCTCTTGGATCCAAATCCTCAAAAGGTATTTAGGTGCCAAACTCCCATTTATTTCAATGAGAATTAGGTGCCTAAACACCTTTGAGGATCTGGGTCTCTCCTATGCATCCCTCTCTGTCCATGAACAACTTATATTAGGGGCTGGGGAGTCAGTTCTCGCCTCAGCCTGTGTGGGGTGGGAGGGTGCGGGGACAAGGTGGGGAGGTTTATGAGCTTAAATCCTATCAACATTAATTGGAGGGTTTTGAGTTTCATGCACAAACTGCCCCTCCCCTGCCGCCCATCCCACCCCAAGAGGAACAAGCCGCTCCTTGTACAGCTAAATGATACTTTTAAAAAGACAGGTTTCAGAGTAGCAGCCGTGTTAGTCTGTATTCGCAAAAAGAAAAGGAGTACTAGTGGCACCTTAGAGACGAACCCATTTATTTGAGCATGAGCTTTCGTGAGCTACAGCTCACTTCATCGGATGCATACCGTGGAAAATACAGTGAGGAGATATATAGACACACAGAACATGAAAAAATGGGTGTTATCATACACATTGTAAGGAGAGTGATCACTTAAGATGAGCTATTACCACTTTTAAAAAGACAGGCACTTGCATGAAGTTCTGTCCTTGTTTACACTGGTGTAAATCCAGAGTGACTCCGTTGGCTTGATGCATGCCCAGCAACTCAGTCCATTCAGTTAGGTGCCTACATATGGACACAGAAGCCTGACTTTACGCCTTGTTTTTTGAATTCTTGGCCTCAGAGACCAACACTGAACAATTTTATTATGTTGCCAGACAGCTGCATTCTTTCTTCCAATAGAGGCATGTATTATTGGCACAGGGTCGTTTCTCCTCTCGGGTAATCAGCTGCAGTTCTACCACTAATACATTCTACTGGGTTGCCATGACAGACAGCTTGATTGCCCGCCCTGAGTACACCACAGACATGTGTTGTGTTACCTATTGGTGCTAAGAGGATTGAGGTAAGTATCCCAGGACACTGAGGAGAGAACGGATCCACTAGCCTGTGACCTAAAGGGCTAAAGGATTCCATTCTGCAAACTCCCTGCATGTAGAATTCTGTCACCTTCAATGGAAGATCTGTCTGAGGAAGGCTTGTAGGATAGGCTTTGCAAATTTCCTTTGCAAGTTTCTCCCTCGCAATGTTGAGCTCATTAAAATTCACATTTGCACATGAAAAGATAGTCCAACGGAAAAAAAAAAAATCATGTACTTCCATGTCATTTATGTGCTGCTTTTGTTTTGTGCTCTGCAGTTCATCTCATGGCAACCCTGCAGTACTCTAGGAAATTTTGGGAGGGCAAACAGAGATCAATATAAGGAAAAATGCTGTAAATCTTAGCTGAAAGGAATGTGGATCTAACACACAAGGCATTGTGTGTCCCAGATTTCAGCCAAAAGACTCAGCTTAACAAAATGAAGTTTATTAATTGCCTACAAATACCACATTTCAACAAATCTCTACAGAAGAGACCTGGAATCTTCATGGCAGGAAATCTGAGTAGCATGATTATTCCGGTAATAGAATGCTGACCAGTGTAGCATTCCATTCCATCTCCCCTTTTTAAGTTCTACATTCCTACCATTCACAAAACTCTACCTTCCTGAGTCAGTAACTCACCTCACCAATCTCCCTTTTCCTTTGTTGACAAGTCTTTTCCTAAAATACATAATCAATCCCAGCTCGAGCCTGGGATATTCAAAGGTGTCTAAGAGAATTAGACACTCAACTCTAAAGGAGGGGAAAAATTTGTTTTGGGAAGGATTCTGAAAATTGGCTTTATTTCGAATCGGAAATTCTCTGTGAAGGAAAATACTGAAAAAAAAAAAAGGTTTCAGGGTGGTAGGAATGTTCATTTCAACAAAACCATTTCTTCTCAATGCTGACTTTTAAAAAATGTAGTATAATCTAGTGTTTTTAAAAACGGAAACAAAACATCATTTCAAAATGAAACATCAAAATGTTTTGTTCCAAAAAACATCAAAACCAAACGTTTCAACATTGTTTTGGAGGAAAACCACAAAGATAAAGTACTGCCAAAGTTCTAGTGAAATCAACCTGATGTTGTCAAGGTTCCTCCCCCACTCTGAACTCTAGGGTACAGATGTGGGGACCTGCATGAAAAACCTCCTAAGCTTCTCTTTACCAGCTTAGGTCAAAACTTCCCCAAGGTACAAAATATTCCACCCGTCGTCCTTGGATTGGCCGCTACCACCACCAAACTAATACTGGTTACTGGGGAAGAGCTGTTTGGACGCGTCTTTCCCCCCAAAATACTTCCCAAAACCTTGCACCCCACTTCCTGGACAAGGTTTGGTAAAAAGCCTCACCAATTTGCCTAGGTGACTACAGACCCAGACCCTTGGATCTTAAGAACAATGAACAATCCTCCCAACACTTGCACCCCCCCTTTCCTGGGAAATGTTGGATAAAAAGCCTCACCAATTTGCATAGGTGACCACAGACCCAAACCCTTGGATCTGAGAACAATGAAAAAGCATTCAGTTTTCTTACAAGACGACTTTTAATAAAAATAGAAGTAAATAGAAATAAAGAAATCCCCCCTGTAAAATCAGGATGGTAGATATCTTACAGGGTAATTAGATTCAAAAACATAGAGAACCCCTCTAGGCAAAACCTTAAGTTACAAAAAAGATACACAGACAGAAATAGTTATTCTATTCAGCACAATTCTTTTCTCAGCCATTTAAAGAAATCATAATCTAACACATAGCTAGCTAGATTACTTACTAAAAGTTCTAAGACTCCATTCCTGGTCTATCCCCGGCAGAAACCAGCATATAGACAGACACACAGACCCTTTGTTTCTCTCCCTCCTCCCAGCTTTTGAAAGTATCTTGTCTCCTCATTGGTCATTTTGGTCAGGTGCCAGCGAGGTTACCTTTAGCTTCTTAACCCTTTACAGGTGAGAGGAGCTTTCCCCTGGCCAGGAGGGATTTCAAAGGGGTTTACCCTTCCCTTTATATTTATGACAGATGTCATGAAGCGTTTGGATTTAGGCAGAGTTGCATATCCCAGAGGCATATGGTTCCATCAAAATTTCCCAAACCAGCTCTACCCAACTCCCACTGAAAGTCAAATTCCCTATGCCCCTTTGAGAAGCCACACCCCACTGACAAAAGGGATAATTTTCTCAAATTTGAAAGAAATCAAAGCTTTTCATGTCCAAAGACTGAGCAAATCAAGGCTGACAGGTTAGTGTTATCCTTTCACCAGCTAGACATGCAGCAGAAGACTTCCCCAGTGTCATCGTCAGGTGACCTTTGGGTGGGATGCTGTAACACACAACGCTTCTCTGCGCTGCGTACCCATGGGACCCCAGTAACAAGCAAGCGCTGAGAGAATGAGGAATCAGTCAACGCTACATTCAGCAACTCATGGTGTCAGACTCCATTAGGTGGTCGAGGGACAGCTGCATAGAACACATCCCCGGACATCGGCAATACCAGGAGGGATGAGCTGGAGTGCCGATGAGAAGCGCAGTCAGAAAAGTAACAAATACTTTCTTCATGGATTGTATTTTCTAAAAGGACAACCAACCTCATTCTCAATTACCGAGGGACAATCTCCACTCGTTGATATACTTTGCTTCCCACAATCAGCTCTCTGTGCAACTTTTCATGAGTGATGTACCCGAGTATTTGGATTCTAATATCTAAACTGTATTGTTAAATCTATTCACCGAAATTTGGGTTATTGCTGATAATGTACTCTAACATATGATTTTTAAAAAACTAACTTTGTATTTGTGGATAATCTAAACACTATACCCAGATGTACAGACACTCTTTTCCCAACTTATGCATTATCTGTCTCTCTATATATTTTTAACATTAGCTTTAATAAAATTTTAAAATCCATTCATTTATCTATTTAGCCATCTCACTTAAATTAAAATCAATGAAGTTTAGGCAAGAACAAGACCAGATATTCACCATGCCCATCCCCTATTTTGCACACACGCAGATAGTGTCTTAGGCCCAGGCCTTCCTACCTTGGCACACAGACCTCAAAAGGCAACACAACCAGGGTACTTCTGCTGGGTGAAAGCCATGAAGAGTGTGTGCTATGCAACTATGTCCATCATTGCTAGTATGGAAGAAGGTTTGCAGTGTCAGCCCTAGCCAGAGGAGTGCTGAGGGCGTGTCCAGAGGATCCACGGACTAAATCCTCAGTGTCGGATGTGTGCGTGCAATGGCATTAGAGTTTAATGCTGTAATAGAAACTGTGGAGCAATTCTATGGGTGCTCTGCAGTTTAGAAGAGGTGCTTTCCCCCTGCAGAGCCCATTGAGGTGTGAGTGTGTGAGAGAGAGAGAGAGAGCGCTCACCAGTCCTCTGCTGGCAGTGAGGTTCTGCAGGGCCCCAGCACAGGCCTCTAGGGTGGCATCTTTCTTGCTCTGGTCCATCAGGTTCAGGTATGTGCGGATGGCATCAGAATGGTAGAGCCAGCTGGGCCCTCTGGGTTTGTACTCCTCATCGGGAATGGGTAGAACATACTCATCGATCTAAGGGGAAGTAATAGATTGACATCCAGGAGCTTGGCATTTTCTACATGAATCACACGTCATTATCCCTGGTTGCTTGGGTGGTCACATACAAATATCTGCATGCACCTATCACGTACAGACAACACATCTAGTGTGGCTGGGCATATGCGGCCACTCTCTCAACTCTCCCAGGTGTACCAATTGGAGGACATGTTACTCTATGTAACTCCTCATACCCCTTTTCTGGTCCTGATAATGCAGGGGCAGGGCAGCTCTTCACTCGAACCCAGTGACAGGGGCTGAGTGAATGGTGCATTTTGCAAGCACTCAGAATCAGGAGCACGTCTTACCTCCAGCTTCCCACTCCTGCTGTTGAAGCAGCCTGTGAGGGTCTTGTCCACATAGGCATTCCTGGCCATGTGGTTGAGCTGGGTGTATTTATTGGGCACCTCGGCATCCAGGCGGTAGGATAGATTGTGCAGGATACAGATGCAGTTCTCCACGGACTGAAATCAGCCCCCGAAAAAACACAACAGTTTTACAGTCAGACAGGAACATGGAACAGTATGCGCATTGTAACAATATTTAATGACAGTCAAAGATGTGTTGCGGTGTAAGGCGGATAAACCCTGCTGCCTGAACATAAATATAATACACCAAACTCTGAGGTCCTTACTCTGATTTTATTTACGGCTTCTCTACATAGGGACATTCTGGAAAATTAATCTGAATTACCTTTTAAAGTGGATTAGTTAAACTGCATTAAATCCCTGTGTGGACACTCTTATCTGGAGTTAGAGTAGCCTTAATCTGATTTAGTTTAATTCACTTTCAATTCACTTCTAAATCAGAGCCAGATTTTCAGAAGTGTTCAGCACACAGCAGCGACCATTGTGACATGTAGGCCAGAATTTTCAAAAGAGCTCTGCACCCATTTGCGCACCAAAATCAATAGCCGGACTATCAACAGAGCTGTGCACGGTCAGTGCTCAGGGTGTACTACTAATTGGCTAGGGCTGGGCACAGGCTGGTGAACTGTGTGCAAGTGGGAAGCTCATATGTCTGGTACCTTGTCATCAGGCCGGCTGGCAGCCACACAATTCTGGGTATAAGTCATGACTGAGTCAATCAGGCCAGGGTAGTTTCTCATGGTGTGACGTCCAGCATCTGCAGAACTCAGGTTTCTGAAGGAAGACATTTTATAAAATGTAGGGAGATAAAGCAAGACAGATAAGCAGCTCCGTTAGCTGGGTATTTTCCATCAGCCACTGAGCTCCCTACATAATTCTGTTTGAATTCAACCCACTTGGAAGGATTGCCTTTATAGGGTGAAATTCACCTCTCTGCAAGGGGCCAGTGCACCACTTAAGTCCCACTTCAACTCTGACGACTAAAGTGGGACCTAGATGGTGTATAGGCCTTGTCACGTTCCTCTTCAGAGGGGTGAATTTCATCCATGGAGATTTTCCTTTTAGGGTAAGTCCAGAGGGAAGATATCCCCTTAGAGAGAACAATATAGGTACAGTGGGGACATGCAAGATATCTGCTTAGAGTTATTTCCAGAGAGAGGGTAGAATAATGAGTAGCTGGAGATTGCCACAGAGAACAAGGAGCCCACCTTCAACGGGCGTAGGTCAGTGTAGCAACATTGACTTCAATACCACCATTACCACACAGCTCTTTCTAAACAAGCACATTTATTCTTAAAGTGAAAACATTACAGAGAAAACATATTAAATCAATACAACGTACACGCATGCTAATAAGCTTACCAGAGATCACCCCAAACTCCAGCAGGCGTTTGGGCTGGTGACCAGTCCTTCAAACCTCACACAGAGGGTTTTCTGTGGTCATCAGTTCATAACAAGAACCCCCATGTCTCTCTGAGTCCCTCCTTTCTACTGTTTGGGCCTCTGATCTTGTCCTCATGTGACAGGTGACCACCATGACTAGCACACAAAGGTCCCCTCCTCAAGGCGAAGCTTTAAAAAGTACCTTGTTTAAGAGAGTCCTTTGAAGCCCCTAACATTTCCCAGGGTTTACATGAGTCGTGTCTCTCCCCTAGAGACATTACATACGATCTCACAATACGAACTCCTAAAATACTTTAACTGAATTCAGTAAGGTTCAGCTTAATCCAAGAAGGTTTGTCCAGGATATTGCCGGAATTTGTCATCTCTCTCACACGGGGACACCAGGTTTTAAGAAAAAGGGGCAAAAAACTTAGATTTAAGTGGTGATGGTTTCGCTGCGCTATACTCTGGATCAGGTGTTGGCTAAGACAGCAGAGTTTTAGCAGCGGCATGACATGATCTTGTTTTAATGCACCGGTAGCTTGCAAATGAGTGGTTTGCAATAGCTCACAGACATCTGCCAGACAGAAACTCTTAACAAACCTGCGTGGCTAGGCTTTTGTCAATGAGCAGATGTCCATGTCCCTCATTATTCAAGACCCATTTTAGGCCCAAACTGACCTCAAGTTTGGAATTATCTCCATGTCATTGCTATGCATTATGGGCACAAGACATGACAAACCAGTGCACAGAAGACTGACCCTGCCCCCTGGATGGCTATTTTTGCAGTATCCCCCAATACTGCCATTTCTCCATTAACATGTATCCGCATATTTGAGCTCCAATGCCTTTACAGGGATGGAGCAGATGACAGCCCTGCTTACAAGAACCATTCTGCTGCATAACTGCACATGGAAAGTTCTCCTCCAAGAGAGGGATGGAGGCAGGAGCGCGCTGTCCTTCAGAAGTGATCTCCAGCCTCTGGGGGCTGATAGTGACAGGCAGAGAAAGCTGCAGTCCCTGCTGCAGTCTGCTTCATCAGTTTCACAAGCGAATGTAGCTCCCATTAGCTAGCGTGTCTGGTAAGGGTGCGGTCTGTTGCTACATTCCCTAAGGCAGAGCTTTAGTTCATTAAAGTACCTAATTATACAGCTTTTTCATCTCCCCACTGAGTTGTTCCCAACGTGATGGGGAATTTGGAAGCTGGTAGAAGAAACTGCAAGTCAGGACGAAGATCTTCATGCCAAGAAGTTCTCTGGCTTTTCCAAGGAAGAAATAAAACCATCCCAGGCCCAAATACAAGCCTCTCACTTTGACACCGACACTTACACTGGGATGGGCCAACACCTAGTGACTGTAACTGGAATGAATGGATCCAGTATGAAAAAAAGAGAATCAGCTGGAATTTGCTGGCAAGAGATAGTCATTAGAGCTGGATCGAAAATCTGGGGGTTTAGTCCCACACAGAAAATTTTGACTTTTCATCAAATAATGGAAAACAATTTGTTTTTTGGCAATCAAAATTTTTAAAAAATTCAGCTGAAACCTGAACATTTTTGGCCCAAAACCACCAGCCTCACCCCCCACCACAAATTCCTTGTGTTAGCTAAAAAATTTCAAAAAGTTTTCTAATGAAAAATCAAAACTTTTCAAGGAAACAGGAGACTTTCTGTGAAAAATTTTTGTTTTATCAAAAACCCAATTTTCTGTTGAAAAACAAGTTCAGTGGGAAATGTTCATCTAGCTCTAGACACCATGAAAACTTTATGAATAGGCTTGGCAGAATTTCACTTGTATTTTTTTAAATCATGACTGGCGTGGAGAAAGTGAATAGGGAAGTGTTATTTACCCCTTCACATAACACAAGAACTAGGGGTCACCCAATTAAATTAACAGGCAGCAGGTTTAAAACAAACATAAGGAAATACTTCTTCACAACACACAGTCAACCTGTGGAACTCCCTGCAAGAGGATGTTGTGAAGGCAAAAAGTATAGCTGGGTTCAAAAAAGAACTAGATACGTTCATGGAGGATAGTTCATCAACAGCTGTTAGCCAAGATGGTCAGGGATGCAACCCAATGCTCTGGGTGTCCCTAAACCTCTGACTGCCAGAATCTGGGACTGAACAATGGGAGATGGATCACTTGATGATTGCCCTGTTTGTTCATTCCCTCTGAAGCAACTGGAACTGACCACTGTAGGAAGACAGGATACTGGACTAGATAGACCATTGGTCTGACCCAGTATGGCCGTTCTTATAATTTTGATGGATAATATCAATCAGGCTTATTTTTAAGCTTTTTTTTTATTTATTTTTTAATCAATTTAAATGTTCACAGTTGCAGGAAATTTTGGGAGATCAGACAATAATTAATGACAGTAGATGTTGAGATTCAAAAAGTTAAAGGTTTATAACTGTTAAAATAAGGGGCCCGTTTTAAGCATAGCCACAAAGGGTGTGAGCGATGCTTGTCTGCTGACCTACCTCAAACAGCCTGTAGCATTGAAGAATACCTCAGGGTCAACAATTTCTCTTGTCCTATTACTGACACCATCAGACCACCCCGAGAAAGGGATGATAACACAATCTGTCAAGACAGGGAGGGCTTCGTGTATCAAATCTTCTTTCAGCTCATCAGTGGAGGACAGGTTCCACAGCAGCCCTAGAAAGAAAATGCAAGACAAACATTAAACCTTAAGGTCTTGATGCAGTAAAGGCCTGAATCTCCTATCACTAACATTGCAACTAGGGAATAACTCCATGAAAGTTACATCCATGCAAAACTGGTGCAAAGAAGAAGAGAATCAAGCTCTAGGTCTACAATCAAGGCATTCAAGATAGCCCCCAGGTTTGGAGAGAGACGCTCTGGTCCAATCTCCCCGTCCAATCTCAGCTCTAACAGAAAAGGCAGTTTCCTCTGTAACTAACCAACATGTCACTCCATGATCAACCTGCGTGGTGCTGCATGTGCTGTTCAAACCAGGCTTCCCAGTACAGACCCAGAATGTCACCTCTTCTACCTAGTCCACGTTATCTTGAGAAGGGTCTTGAAACTAGTTCTCCCATAATACATTGTACTAGCTCAGTGGTCTCCATCCTTTCCAGGCAACAAAAACCTCTTGTATTTCAAGCAGTGTTCACTGCTTCCTATTTAACCATGTGCCCTCTAACCCCCCATGGGACTTGGGCATACTCTAAGTTCTAGTTTCAGAGTATATACAGTTAAATGGGAGATAGTAGAGGCATCATACTGGCCTGGGACAGAGGCCCCCTATTACAGTACAGAATGGAGCCTGGTGTCCCAGCCTCAAAGATCATATTTCTGTACACATTTCAGTCTGGGGCAGTGAGGAGAGTGGACCATCTACCCAAGGCTCAAGTACACTATAATCAAAGACAACTCGGGCTGACCCAGTGTTAGCACATGCACGTGATCCCAGTAGAACCCAACTCTTCAGGATAAGCCTGGGACACTAAATAGACTGTGTAATATTCTCTGAAACAAACCCCCAAAACTCACCTCCTGTCAGACCAGGAAGGGGAACTAAGTGCCAGAGGATGGGACCCTCCTCTGAGAATGCCCTGGACCCAGCTCTCAGGTGATCACATGTAGGCCCTGATGGCTCAAAAGCCCTTGATGGTCACAGCTGTGTTGGTAAACCTGGTTGCATAGGTGTGATCTCTAAGTCTCAGACCTGATTCACGGGCCGGTGGTTGGGAACCCCTAACACTGTACGCAAGATTCACAAAGCTGATAAACTGGGCAATCCAGGGGCCTGATCCTGCACAGCCTCGCACTTTGTGTTGTCATTTGCACATGGGGAAAGCGAGTACAAAGTGTCATGCTGGTCTGATAGTGTTGTACTTTGCACAGGTGCATATGGCAATGCAAGGTGGCAGGCAGGTGAGTCTCAGGCCCCAGTGTCTAGGAGCCAGATCCCCAGGTGTTATAGGCTGGTGTGGAAGTCAATGGAGTTATCCTGAGTTACACGAGCTGAGGATCTCTCCTTTGCTTGCATGTACCTGTCAGCTGTTTCTGTATTTCAGTGTTCGGAGTTCTCCTCAGGAGGCTCACACACTCCCTTATCCCATTCTGCCGTCGGGTTTCTAACTTGTTGGCAGGATTTCTGAAGACCAGATTTCTAAGAGCCCCAGCTGCAGCCTGCTGGACATTTTGGTTTGGGCTGCGGAGGAGTTCAATTAGCTTGCCAATTCCACCTAGCCGGTAGACCTGCAAGAGGAGAAGACAGACAAGGATCAGCATCCCCTGAAAAGTTCATCTATTTGCTCTGGTGTATTAAAAGATCACGGCGACAGAAGTTAATGCAAGAAGACAGCATAGCGCGTACTAATTGGAATGGAAAGGATACCCTGAGCATTACAGGATGGCTAGACCCAAAATACCCCATTTTTTACAAGGCAGTCAAATGGCTTGATAGCTATAGTCAAGAGCGTCTGTGCTGACTGCCTTGATGACTAGGGTATAAGATTAGTGGACAGAGCACTGGACTGAGATCAACTGGGTTCTATTCCCGGCTCTGTTATTGACCTGCTGGGTGATGTTGGACAAGTCACTTCATAGCTCTGTGCCTCAGTTACCAAATCTGTAAACACAGGGATAATGAATTATACCAATTTTGTAAAGCACTCTCCACTCCACCTATGAAAAGAGCTGGTATTGTTACTAACAGATGTCAACAATTAAGACTTGCAAGTAATGACCTCAGCTGGAGTAAATTAGTGTTTGCTCCCACTGACTTCAGCAGTGCTACGCTGATTTCTGTCACCTGAGGATATGGCCTCACGAGTCTTATTTCTGCGGTGAAAAGCTACCTAGAGACCACATTATAATTGTAATATAGCAACATTCCATAGTGCTTTACCTGCACCCAGAAACCACGGGCCACATTCAGAGGCAACACGTATGTTGGCGTAACATACACTCAGAATCAAGGGGCCAAATTCTGGGCTGATGTGTAAGGGGACGGGGGTGTGAATCTAAGTCTAAGGCAGCCTAACATGTATGTTACATCAACTGTAGGCTGCCTTAGACTTAGATTGATGAGACTGGGAGAAGGTAGCAGTCACACAAGCTTAGACTCTCTGTAGATTGGTAGACCTAATTAGTCTCAGCACTGAATTGGTCCTACTTCTCTGAAGTAACCAGAGCTCCTGTGAACGGAATTCATTGCTGTGAGCCTAGGATTTAGTGAAACCACCTGTTCGTGAATGAATGAAACTGTCAGCTGGGGAAAAATGCCTTGATATTTGGAAGCCTCACTTAACGAGCCTCGGGGCACATTTTCAGAAAGTGCTCAGCACCCACAATTCCAGTCGAAGGCAATGGGAAATAAAGATGTTTGGCACTGCTTGAAAATCAGGCCCCAGATGTCTCACGTGGACCTTCTAAAATGAAGGCACCCAGACCCAGAGCCCACTTCTGAAAATGCAGCCACGAACAAGTTAGTTTACCTCTTGCTTGGCAGATTCATCCTGGAAGCAGGTGTGCTGGAGGTAGTATGCACCCATGGCTTGAGATTTCTCATCCGAGGAGCACAGGAGCTGTATGGCTTTCTGGATGGTCATTGCCATGTTGTCCAACTCATCAGTGCATATTCTAAACAAAAAGAAGGGAAAGGAGTGGATCAGTCGCTATGTGGCAAGTGCAAGATGCTTTAGAGGCTGATGACTTCTTTGAAAGATGCCACCAGATTCAAGTAGGCAACGGCCCCTCAGCCGACTACCGTTAGAGCTTATGGGTTTGTTTATCTAGACAGATCTATCAATATTGCAATATGGTCCCTGCAAAGAGAGCTGCAACCACCAAGAAACCTGGTGGGCTAAGTATTCAGGTCATGACTCAGTTTTTACCCAGTCCTTACTCCCACTGACATCCATAATAATGGAATGTCATTGTTTGTTTACAGAAAGAAGACTGGGAAACTGCGTATGACCTCGTGTAGATTTCAGAATGATACCCATGATCATACGCATCTACCTTAACCTTTGGGGTGCTAAATCACAGTTTTGTTTCAAGGAAAGCCATTGCTGTTTGTGGCCATGTTATTGTCAGAAAAAGAGCCTAGTGAGGGAGGTTTTAAGTGGAGTTACAGATGAACACTGACAGTGGAACGATTGCAGATGTCTATAGAATCCCGAGGTGAGTTACAAGAGAGTATGGACTTGGTGTGGGGCAGGGGGGATGGAAAGCGTGGGAAAAAACCCACCCAGACCTTTGAAAATGCACCTCCTTGCCGTGGAAACGGGGGGCCTGATTATCTCCTGCCTTGCACCTATGCAGAGTGGGTAGAAAGTGCTCCCAATTCACAATGCTAATGACAACACAAGGTGCAACGCGAGGAAAAATCAAGCACTAGCAGTCCAATTGTTTGTTTAATTTTATTTAAACAATTAACTGAATGCAAGTGGAAAATGGTAGGTCACAGGATGGGTGAGACTAAAATGTTCAGGGGATTTGGTGGAGCAAAGCATCCAAAAGTTCAGCTTCTGCCATGATGTTTTCCCTTCTCTGCACTCCCATTTACATCAGTGGGGTTTTACCGTTGACTTCAGTGAGGTCACGATCAGGTCCTGTCAGGACATTATGTCTTTGGGAACTGGATGTTTCTTGGTTTCAGCATATGGAGGGAATATCCCTGATGGGAAAATCCAGCAGACTCTAAAAGAGAATTATATCTTTTCTATGGGATTTTTAAATTAACCTATGAGATTCTATATAGAGATATGATCCTCTATTAAATTCTCTTAAACAATCCACAGAAAGGTGTCATTCTCTATTATGTTGTATAGGCTGTCCAGAATAATTTCCATGGCATTCTAATGGTTTCATCTCTACTAAGTTCTATAGGGCTTCCCCATAAAGGATAACCCCTCTTGCTGAGATTTTGTTATTAAGCCAGAAACCAAGAAGTGCGGAGTCATGTAAAATGGGGGCAGGAAAGGTTGACTTTGAACCTTCGGAACCTCAGAAGATGTTTGGTTCGGGCCATGTTTTGGTGAAGGTTCAGGATAGTGTCATTTTATCTAAACCTTTCTGACCATCTCTACCAGGCTGATGGTAGCTTTGGAACCAAATCCCTCTCTCCACAAACAGAACAGGCACAGCATGAGCTGTGACAGGAGAAGTTTCTCCCTCCACTGTACCCATGCTGTCTGGGAGAGGAAAGTAGGAAAGTTCTATCTCCAGGGATCATTCAATCTTTAGCCATTGTGCTGAGAAGACCAGCCGATGACTGCCAGCTGTGATGGCGGCTCTGATGATGGCATCCAGTTCTAGAAGTTCTCAAAGCAGGGGCAATTTTTATAGGCGACCCACCAGGGTCAGTTTTTCAAGGACAACTCCCCACACGGGCATTTCTACAGAGCGACAAATCCATCCCCAGCCAGAACCATAGGGGGAAATCTCTGCAACCAGCTCCAGTTCCACAGTGGAAAGGGTCAGTAACCAGAATCCATTTTCTCCAGGGGAATTCATCCAGGGGAACAGCTCCTCACTCAGGTTAAGTTCTACAACCAGAGCAACTAAACAGAATGGAAACTTTTCTTTTTTGTTATTGAGAGTCTAGGGGCCCAGGGGACAAAGGAGCAGGGAGGAGCTAAGAAAGCCACTGCTCATTGTTTATTAAAAACATTACAGAGAAGGTAATATCCACAAGCCCAGCGATTCCTAACATATGACTCAAACCCCTTTGCACTGAACACCTTTCCACAACCATTAGGAACTCAAATATGGCTCAGAGCATTGTCACTCATCTTTGATCCACCCAAATAATTACTGTTGAAGCTTTGGCACCATAGGCAGCTAGCTAGGAGGATTCCCTTACATTCTTCATAGATTCATAAATTCCAAGGCCAGATTGGACCACAGTGATCATCCTGTCTGACCTCCTGTATAAAACAGAACTAAAATTTCCCCAAAATAATACATGTTTTGAATCAGAGCAGATCTTTAAGAAAAACATCCCATCTTGATTTAAAAATTGCCAGTGATGGGGAATCCACCAAGATGGGGCATTTTTCTAAAGGATCTGCTCTGGGAATTATTTTGAGGGAAGTTCTATGGCTTGTGTCATACAGGAGGTCAGTCTGGATGGTATAATGGTCCCTTCTGGTTTTCAAATCTCACCCTTGGCAAGTTGCTTTAATGGTTTGAGAGCTAAAGACCTGAGAGCTGAACCCCAATGTGCTATTCACAAGACACTGAAAGGAGACAGTTTTCTTCCTATCGTGAACGATTGCAGTACGAACCCCAGCCATGCCAGCTGTGATGGATGTCATAACAAAAAGATGCATCACTCTACCTTTGGGAAACAGACACACACTTCAGGGGACTCTTTCTGGCCTCTAGTGGACCAGGCTGTGATTACTTGTGCTGATAGTCATTTGCAGAGGCAGTTTACAGCAGGGAAGAACCACTCAGGGCTAGGCTCCACATCTGGGATTGACCCATGGTTCCATCAGCATGGACAGGGAGGATACACTCCCTGCTAGTGACCTCTCTTCAGTCTCCCAGTCATCTCCAGAAAGGAGCTCCATCAGGCATCACGACCTCCACCGGAGACGGGCCTGCAGTGGCTGGAGATAGCAGGTCAGTGGGGGGTTGCGCTCTGACTTTTCAGAGGACTTGGTATTGCGTTGCCAGGATGTCCTGTGTTAGCCACACGTGGACAGTGATGACCCTATCAGGCTTCGTCCTGCATTCCGGCCAGGCAACAAGTCCAGAGGATCCCATTCGAGTCAACAGCTTTGCTGCCTGTTCCATAGCATCCAGTCTGATGCCTGTGGCCCTTTTCTTTAGCCAGCTCCGGTTTCTCTCAGGTTTTTAGTGCTCCTGTGTCAGTTATTCTCTATATGACTTACGGCCATGCCCACACCTGCTGTCGCTTCTGAAGTGATGAAGCATTTGCTCCATGAGAGGTTTACCAACGGGGGCAGGGGGGGTCACCGCATGCCATTGCCACCGACAGCCACGGTTCACAGCCACACATTTGAAGGTGTGCCCAGCGGATGTATCTGAGCCTCTTTCTTCCACCTACAGCTGAACAGTGAGGGTAAAGCAAACATGCCAACCCCGTCTTGAAAGATGATCGCAGTGCGCATCCGGCATTATGGCGGACGCTGTCCCCCTCCCGAAATTCAGGGCCTGCTGCAGCTCAGTTCCAGCAGCCCTCATGCTAGGGAGGGTCTGTGGGCACCAGAACTCACCTTTTCCTCCTTACAGAGAAGAGCACTGAGTCCCTCTCTGGCAGGCTATCAGGGAGAAGGTCTAACTGGCCTAGCATGGTGGGATTTGAATCTGGGCCTTGAAGGGCGAAAGGCAAGAGCCTCTACAGCTTCAGCTAAAGGTAGGACCTCCCTAGCTGGTGGCAGTAATAGTTTCCTGTCCTCCTATGTGTACCAGCTGGAGAGGAACAAAAGATGCCCTTGCTCCTAGTTTCAGAGGAACAGCCGTGTTCGTCTGTATTCGCAAAAAGAAAAGGAGGACTTGTGGCACCTTAGAGACTAACCAATTTATTTGAGCATGAGCTTTCGTGAGCTACGGCTCACTTCATCGGATGTATACCGTGGAAACTGCAGCAGACTTTATATATACACACAGAGAATATGAAACAATACCTCCTTACCTCCTCCCACCCCACTGTCCTGCTGGTAATAGCTTATCTAAAGTGATCATCAGGTGGGCCATTTCCAGCACAAATCCAGGTTTTCTCACCCTCCACCCCCCCACACAAATTCACTCTCCTGCTGGTGCTAGCCCATCCAAAGTGACAACTCTTTACCTAATCAAGTCGGGCTATTTCCTGCATAAATCCAGGTTTTCTCACATCCTCCCCACCCCCATACACACACAAACTCACTCTCCTGCTGGTAATAGCTCATCTATAGCTCCTAGTGTGCTTTATATACAGCATGCCCATCACTAATTGCTCATAGCGTTCAGTTTGAATCTGGTGGCCTTGGAGCAAAGGGAGCTTTCTCCTAACTGGGCAGAATCGCTACAGATCATTTAGCCAACATGGCCAGCAATGAGTGACCGAGTGCTGGCTCCAGATGACACACCATACGACTGGAAGAGGAACTGACTGCAAAGAGTTCCACTTTAGGGACAATCAAATGGCACTACTTGGGAACTGAGCAGCTGCAGCAGCCATTGGAATAAGCACAACAAAAGACATGTTCTGAGCCCTCAAAGACTTTGAGCTGGGACGTGTGGTTCTCAGTGAGTCCCACCATGCCCCAGGGCGTAGAACAGGAATATCATGCTTTACCTCCAGGCGAAGGGGGAAACAGAGGTGAGCAAAGAGGAGATTGTCTGCTGTGAGTTAAACAAGATGAAGATGTTGTTATTCACATAACCACTGCGTCTGCCTGATAACTGTTCAGAGCAAACTCTCCAGCCAGGACCTGGTGTATTGGGGGGAAGCTACAGGTCTTCAAGAGGGAAAATTCTCAAATCAGACCAAGATCTACAAGCAGATCTGAACAAGTTCTACAAGGGGTCAACTACTCCAACAGAACCAGTTCTACAAGGCGGGGGAAAACCCGCAACAAGGTTTTGTTTTACAAGAACAACAATTCCACAATCCAAATCTACGAGAGACAATACGCTTCAATCACAGCCAGATAGGGAAGGGAAGCAATTCCCCAACCAGAACCAGTGGTATATGACTGGAGTCCTTCTTGTACAGAAAGTACTGCACAAGAGAGGTCATTTCTAGAAGGGGAAGATTTGTTGTCTAAAGAACTCAGAGAAAACACACAACCAAGAATAGTTCTAGAAGTACAATAACACCCTGACCAGATCCAGTTCTGTACGAGGGATTACTCAGTCGAACTATCTTTACAATTCTAATGCACTTACCATCCTGGTACCAGAGTGTAAATAATACCATCGCCATACCAAAAAGTTAAATCAACGGTATTTTCCATTTTCTCTTGCTAAGAGCCACTGTGATATGTGCTTGTAGTTCTTTTTTAATTCCACTCATCCCCTTCTTCCTTTTACTTCTTTGTACTTCTCCTCCTCCTCCTCTTCTTTTCTCTGTATCATTTACTTGTCCCCACCGAGGTAGCTTCAGAATTATTGAAGAAAAGCCAGGATAAAAGGATGTCTTTACATTTTCCCAGCCCTATTCCACAGCTAGACCTCTCCAATCTCAGCCAGTTCTACAACGGAGTGATGCAGCAGATGAAACTAGAACCAGATTGGCTACAGGGATCATTCAGAACAAGACCAGCTCTATATTAGGGGTAATTCTCTGTCCAGGAATGGTTTTACAGCAGGGAGAGCACCCATATCAGAATCAGTTCCACAAGGAGGACCACTCGCGATTGTAAACAGTTCTCCAAAAGAGAAAACACTCCAATCCAGCTCAATTTTGCAGGGTACAATGCCTGCCTATGCACTGCATCAACCTGGATCGATTCTAAAAAGGAGAATTTACTCAAAACAAGACCAGTAGTGCAGTGTGGTCAACCCCAAAACCAGGGCTCTCTCTGGAGAGGACCATCAGTCCAGAGAGATTGCTAACAGGGACCCCAGCCAGAACCCAGTTCTGCAAGAGGATAACTGCACAGAACCTGTTCTACATAGGAGGCAATACCTCAAGCACTCTCAGTTCTGTGGTGGGGAACCACTTATTCAACTGCATAACCATGTCCAGTTGTTCACAGGAGACAATTTGACAAGCAAGGCTAGTGTTTCATTGCAGAAAACTTATCTGACACAAAACGTTCCTAGTATGAGGACAACGCCCCACACAGTCCCCGTTCTGCAAGGTGAAAACTCCACCTTAAGAACCACTAGTACACAGTGAACAATGCCACAACCAGGGAAAGTTCTCCAATAGTAACCATTACTCAGCCAAGCCCAGTTCCTCAAGGACAACTCCTCTCAATGATGAGGACAGATGCCCAAGAAAGACCTGTACTTCCAAAAGAACAAAACACTGTCTAGGTCTCCAAGGGGCAGAACTCTCCAGCCAGATCTAGTTCTGCAACAAACTGCACCCAGTCCAGAAGCAGTTCTATAAAGACGGCATGTCACCAGTGAGAACACTTCTACAGAACCTAAAAAACGCACAGGTGACAACTCCTCAACCAGACCCAGGTTAATAACAACCCCCATCAGAACTAGTTTTCTTCTCCCCAGCCTCCAAGCAAGAGTGGCTTTTCAAAGGGAACAGCTCCTTAACCCGATCTACACAGAGGAAGCGTTCTTAATCTCACTTCACTCTAGAGGGCAACACTCACTAGGCAGAGCCACTTTTACCAGACAGACCACTCCCCAAACTAAACTAGTTCTCTGGTGGGGGACAACCCCCCTGCCAGGTTCAATTTTAAAAAGGACTAAACTCCCCATCCAGAACCAGTTCTACCAGGATGACACCTCCCCAGCCAGGTCTAACGCTTCATGATAGACAACTCCTAAATCAGAACCAGTTCTGCAGGGTGATCCACACCACAAGCTGGGAGGGTTCTGCAAAGGGGACCACTCCCTAACCAGGAACTGGAGAGCATTTCTGACACAAGGGCAGTTCTCCCTGGAGTAAATCTTCAGAAAACCACAGCCATTCTTCAAGACAGCATATCATTCCATAATTACGAGTAACTCTACATATGAGAAAAGCCCCGTGCATACCAGCTCTTTCGGTAGGGAAACAGCGACCCAGCTGGGACCAATTACTTAAAGGCAATATTCACCTTATGCAGAAAACATCTTCATTGTTGCAGCTGTTCACAGGGTGTATTTCTTCACCCTACAGCCTCTCAGCCTACTGCCCGTAACTCCTTGGTCAGAAATTCCTGGAATGAATTGCTTCTAGTTATGTAAACGGCGGCTTTCCATCCCAAAACAATGACAGGGTTTATGAAATGAGCCAATGGACAACATCATGCTCTGAGCAATGTGCCATCCAGCCACAAGGTAAGCCATGGCTAAACTGAGTAACATTTTGCACATGTAAAGGAAGCGAAGAATGCGTATACATAAAGCCAAATCGCCAAAAGATAATGCATCAACAGGCCAGTTCATGGAGTCTCAGACCCTGCTAAACAGCTGTGGACAATTTTCAATGAGGGAGATTTACAAGTGGTATGTAAAGCTAAGAGCCAAAACTCAACGATGATCAAGGGGCATGAACTGGCCCCCATAATGGAATTTTCACAACCTCTGGTTCGTGCTCTCAGGCTGAATTAGGCAAGGCTTTCACGCAGATCCTGTTGTGATCGCTATTTTTATTGTAATTATTCATTCTATGCAGTGAAGCAGCACCTCATAAACCAGGGCCCTATTGTGCTGGTGCTGTACAAACAGAGAAATGGCTAGTGAGACAATGCAGGTTTGAACACCGTGGCTCAGAGCATCACCTCCTGAGCACAAGCCAGGCTCCTCAATCTCTGAATGTAGATGTTTGAGAGAAAGTGACGTTTGGGACACGACGCATCCCTGCCACCCCTCGTATACCTCTCACACTTGTAAGTAAGTATCTGATGGGATTGCATACTGCGTATAGGGAAGGGAATGAGCAGAGTAGAATAGATCACAGCATAATTTGGGATCCGATTTTGAAGTACTTTCACTCTGTCCTCTTTCTGGACAAACTCCCAGTTGGACTAAATCCAAGGCCCTTAGTGAGCGTCTGCTCGTCCTTACTCGCCTCCTGCAGAAATCAGCCAGTGCTGCCTAAGCAAAGGCTTGGTTTGGGAGTGCAGTGGGACTCAGTACCTCTCAGGATCAGACCCTTGGGAAGGACTCCAGGAGCTGACCATTTGGAAATTGGACTTGCAGTATGAAAACCGGTGCTTTTTTGTAGGGAAATGAACGCCAACCCAAAGTGGCATGGTGAGCAGGAGAGGCACACAACGGAGGTCCCTGCCCTTCTAGCGGTATCACCCTGCAGAGAAGTCCCAGGCTAATCCACTGACCTCACAGGCACGTGGGAACTCACCTGGAGCTGGACATAGAATGCCCATACACCCCGTCCTGCCTGCCGCCCGTCACGGGCTGGGCGTACAACGCATCCGGCTTGTTGCAGGAGAGGTTGCGATCCGGGATGGGTTTCCTAGCGGTCCCATGGTGGGTGCTGCAGCTGCTGTACATGCTCTGGCGGTTCAGGGTTGCCTTTTGCACTGCGTGGCTTCCCACCTGGTTTCTCCGGAGCGTGCCCCGGGGAGGCTCACAGCACAGGTCAGGCTCACTCCGGCTGCTCTTGAGGCAGTAGTTGCCACCGGGACTGGTGGGGCTGCAGACGGCTTTGCTGAGGTGCCGGCTGCCCCAGCCCTCCATCTGACTGTAAGAGCTGAAGCGTCGATTGTCTGTCTCTCTTTTAAGGGTCCCGTTGTACATCTGAAGGGGGAGGAAACAGGAAACAAAACAATTAAAAGGGGCTTGAAGTGACTCCCAGGAGTTCACCAAACGGGGCCAAATCCTGAGGGGCACTGAGCCCTGGCTTTAATGGGAGCTGTGGGCACACCACACATTAACTACAACAAGACCTGCTCATGGTACTTTGATGATCCCCATTATCCTAGTATCTGAGCACCTCACAATCTCTACCATCTCTCTCCTCACAGGTAGGGCAGTGTAATATCCCCATTGTACAGCTAGAAAACCGAGGCTAGAGAGACTAAGTGACTCACCCAGGGAGTTTGGGGCACAGCAGGGAATTGAACCCTGGTCTCCTTGCATCAGGTTAGCACCCTAGCCCCTGAACTACCCCACCTCCTTGTAGTTTTACTTAATATTGTGTATTAATATTCATCCCAAAGGCTTCTAAGCCTCTTACGAACTCTAGATACACCTGACCTACCTCGCCTACCACCAATGCGCAGCCACCTCTGGACTGGAACGTGGCAGCCTTTGAACAGAGCACAGCAACGCTGCCATCCAACAGAATTTGGCAGGGCATCAGGGCACCTGTTCCATTTCTCACAGACTGGGATCCGAGATGTACCCCAGGGGTCTGGAGCTCAGGTGTCTGTGTCACGTGAAAGGCATCACGCCCGTCCCGTTACAGACGCTGACTCTAACCCTATTCTATCCTTCCCATTGCTTGCTTTGTCCTTATTAACTCTTCTTACCCATCTTCCACCCTGACAGACACACTAACCCGTAGGTGAGAATTCCCCCGTGGAGGCCCAAAATGCGGCCCATGTGGGGAAAAGAGGATGGATTTATGCATTAAAGGAGTGAATGAATAGCTCATGCCAACAATAACGTTTGAAGTTTTGAGAACAATAAGGTGGAATTTCTTAAGAAATGCCAGGGCTAAGCCAGCAAAAAGCCACCGTATTTAGTTTAAAGAAAGGGGCCCAGTTCTGACCTGATACACTGGTGTACATCCACAGTGACTTCAGTGGAGTTACTCCAGATTTAGGCCAGTTACACTGGGGTGAGATTCTGTTGCAACAACACTTCTGGATGCTAACTGTGGCATCTGCCTCTCAGAGGGCTGCGCTTGGCAGAGGCTTGGGAACGTTGCCAGCTAGGAAAGGGGGTGCTAAGGTGTTTTACCCCACATAAAAAAAACCCAAACAAACCCAGGCAGTTATGGCAGCTTGCCTGATAGACACCTAGCAACACTGGAATTCCTGGCCCATTCCTCTTACAGCGCAGTGGAACCTGCATTGTCAGGACAACCATGCGGACACAGCCTTCAGTCCCAGTTACATGGCTCTCCTGGTCAGCAGAAGATGCCAGTGGGATACGAACGCTGCTGCTAAGGCAGCTGTGTCGTGAGGAGGCCCCGCGGCCATGCTGCAGGCCAGAAAAAAACGGAGCCTTTGTCCGCTGCCTGCTCAGTGCTATTCTAATGTACTCAGGTCCTTCTTCTTCTAATGTACTCAGGTTCTCCCATCACCACTGTGTCTGAGCCCCTAGGCAAGGAGAGCTGCGAGACACGTTGTCCCGATGCCCATGGCCAGTGCCTGTCTTTGACAATGAAGGAGCCAGGCACAGAGAGCGCGGAAGGGAAATAAAACGCACTCCTTAAATCTCCATCAACAGGCCAGGCCCTGAGCTCCTTGCTCAGCCCTACAAATGCTCATGGACGATAGGAAGCTACACCCTGAGATCCTGCCATGGGGCTAAAGCTGCTCTCAGTTCTAGCAGCATAAATCTGGAACGACTCCGGAGCAACTCAGCATCACTGAGGACAGAATCTAGTTTTCATGTTCACTCAGTCCTAACCCAGGCAGACTCCCATAAAAGATTAACAGAAGTCTTCAAAATTTGGCCCACCAGCATTGAGTGGCATTAGGGTTAAACTGGTTCCTCACAGGACCCCCCCATTAGGCAGGGTTCCTAATTCCACACATCCCAGTTGAGTGGAGTGAACCGCACTCTGCTGAACAAGGGAAGGCTCCCTTTCTCTGCATCCTCCAGCTAAGCCAAGCTTTGGCCCAATTTGCCCTGAGAGAACAGGGTAGCGGAAGAGATGACTTGGTAACTTACTGGTCAGCTACAGCAAAGAGGAACTGGGGAATGATGAAACACTGTCCTGGGCCCCCATCCAAACCCTCCCTATGAATTCTGGGAAGGGATAAGCCACAGCCCCATACAAATTAGGGCTCCCTTGGAAATTCAGGCCTCGAACTCAGTGTCCGTGGTTGAGAGTGGGGCTATAACGTTGCCCTGCAGCTCAGAACAGGGCAGCTGCAGATTTTCACCTCATGAACTCCCTGCCTACCCTACACATAGGTGCTGAGTGGATTTGTTGAGAGACCCACTTCTCTGCTTTGGCCTCTGCTCTACCTGCATATAAGGCCTGATCCATAGTCAGTGGGAGTCTTTCCACTGACCTCCCAGGGCTTTGCCTCAGGCCCATACCGTACACAGCAACCCTCAGATAACGACTAGGGCCATGACACTTGAAAGAGTTCTAGAATGGGAACAGCCCAGCAGCTGGCAGCATCCGCAGTAAAACTCATGCGCTGGCTTCGGTAATGAGCTTCTCACCACACAGCAGCTGTTTTCCCAGGAGTTTGCAAGAGGTTTCCCAACTACCCTGCCCCACCCAGATAGGAGCTGTGCTGACTTGCTGGTGAGGGCTCACTGTCTACCAGACAAGAGCCTTCCCAAAAAAGGCAATAAGCTGGAATTTGCCATTCCAAGAACAGTGGGGAGGAGAGACAGGTTATCAGCTAAACAACTGCCTGCCTGCCGTGCTAAAATGCAGGATGAAATAATTCCCCCACTGCATACACGCCAAGACAAACAGTGTGCTCACGCCCCCACCCACACCCCTCCCCATATCTGATCTCCCGGCAGACCCCCGATGTGAACACATAGAAAAGAAAAACAGCAGCTTCACATCAATAATATATTAAGTCCTTAATGGAAACATAATAGATAGCTGAAAGGCTGCAGCAAAGGCCCCAGGAGCTCAATATCTCTGCCAAATTGCTGACAGCTCCTCAAAATAATCCTACCAGAGTGAAACCCTGCACTGACTCATAAAGGGAAGCCATAGCAAGGGGGAGGTACTCAGTCTAACAACCTGCTGCGTCTTTATTCCACCCAGCCCGTAGAGATCACGTACCCTTGAGAGCTTGCAGAGAGCAAAGGTGATGATGGGTAGGCAGGAGAGAATGAGCCCAGCCACTCCTGAGATGTCAGAGCCTCACCCCACACTAATTGCATCCTCACCATTGCTAGAAGCTTCCCAAGGGTCACTGTGGAGGTTCCCATCTCTAAATATGATGTCTCCGTGTAAAATGTAATACTGAGATGGCTTTGGTCAAAGGCCATCTCCTTGGGGCCACTAATCATTGGTGCAAGGGTGGCATTAGCCACTGGATACAGCCAAGTCTTCCCCACACGGCCACGACTGGTTGATGGAAGTTGTCACAGGGCTGCTACTCAGCAAGGCTCTCTGGTGTGACACTAACCCGATACACCTGCCTGAAACTGTTACCAGAGTCCATCTTATACACCCACCTGCCTCCCTCATGTGTATTGCCCTTTCCTCATTGCACACAAAATCCTCCTCTGAGCTGCTGGGGCTGTGCTGTGCATTCAAGTAGCACGTCCACAGCGGGTTTGTGTTTGTTGGAAGGCAGAGGACATTTGGTCCTGCCAACTATTCACCAGCTTGAATTCAAACCTCTGCTGACTGGCATACATGAGACGATGAGAACACCTGCTGCAGGCAGCTTGTTCAGACCTCCAGAGTAGTTAAGAGAGCCCACTTATTATCAGGAACCTTTAGTCTGACCCCTAGGTTACCTAGGGAGGTGGTGGAATCTCCTTCCTTAGAAGTTTTTAAGGTCAGGCTTGACAAAGCCCTGGCTGGGATGATGCAGTTGGGGATTGGTCCTGCTTTGAGCAGGGGGTTGGACTAGATGTCCTCCTGAGGTCCCTTCCAACCCTGATATTCTATGATTCTATGATTCCTTAGCCAATCAGTGCTGATCCTGTAAGAGGCCGGTATTGAATCATATGATCGAGACCCTCCACCCTTCCCTAGGTCCTACTATTTCTCCTTCCTGGAAGGCACCAGCGCAAAGAGAAAGAGCTACTGGCTGGCGGGTTCATTATACCCGGTATTCTAACTCTGACTGAGGAATGAGCACGTCCACCAGAAAAGCAGCAGGGTCCCCTCCAAACCGAGGAATTGCTCTGGCTTCCCTGATAAGCTCTTGAGCTAGCCAGCCCTGCCTTTGAACCGCTTTAACAAGCGACAGGGGAAGGTCCTCTTGCCTGTGTCAGTCAACTCAGGTTGCAGGGACGGAGGAGATATTTCCCCGGCTTGGATGCAGTGTGACATCCTGCTGGGGCGTCCCTTCCTCCCCTCTCAGGATGAGCACAGGGGCCAAATCCCAGCTAAGTAGGCTCCAGCATGCCTCCTTCTCTCTTCGCTGAACAGAGTTTCCTAACCACGCAGAATGTCCTCTGCTGTCACACTGATCTGGGGCTTAGGCCAGGTGGGGAGGATATCCAAAAATCAACAGCTGGCACAAGTGAGGGAGGGAACGCTCCTGAGTACAAGGCCTGCTTCTCTACTCCCCATTTGACTGGGTCAAATCCCCTCTCATTTACACTGGACTCTGGATCTGCCCTAGGTAGAGCTGAGCAAAGAACTACTTTTTCAGTTTGGTGGCTGAACTGAAAAATACAAAAATTGTTCGTTTCATTCGACCCAAAATAGTTTCCCGCCCCCCCCCCATTTTGTTTTTTTGGTTTTTTTTTTTTTTTAACTCTTGGTTTGTTTTAAACAAAGCTAGCTAAACTTCTAAATGGAACTTCATTTCAAAATGAAAGAGTTAAAACATTTCATTTAGAAAATGTCAAAACAAAACATTTTGACTTGTTCCATTTTTTCCCCCCAGACAAAAGTATTTGCTGAA